ACGGCAAAGTCATCCTATCTTTCCTGTTTGGTAGTTAATTGATTATGTCACAACGCAGTGTGATGGGATGCCACTCTTTGGGAAATCATTTTTTCTTTATTCATTTCTTTTACCTTTTCTTTTACCTTTTACCTTTCTTTTCTTTTATTTCAATTTTTTTACCAAAGAAACTGTGCACAAACCTTTCAGAAAACTTGTGGTGTTTTGGCAGCATCAGGCTGGGAAAGGAAAATAAAGAAGAGGAACTTCATAGGTGAGAACATGTTCGGTCAAGAAGATCAAGCCTGGGAAATAATATTTGGCTGGCTTCTCCCCTATTTCCACAGCGCCCTCTAGTGCCTGGAGGAAAGCTTGTTACCCTAAGCCTTTTAAAAACACTAGTGTTCAACCATTTTTCCATGAATTACAATGTTGCAAAAACAAATCTTAAGAAAACCTCAAATCTAAAACATTAGGGGCATTTGTGTGGAGAAGGGTGATTTTGCGTATCACTGTTGTTTGGAAAAGTCTATGTAAAGGAGCGGTCTGTCTTTAAGAGACTAATGGGTGGTACCTGGGGGGGAAGGGGGAGGAGCTTCAGTAATAAAAAGCTGACAGCCCTGCCGGTGAGCTCCCTGTCCAGCCTGAGGAGCAATCTGCTCTCTTGGCTTCAGCTTGAGAAAGATCACAAGTTTATAGTTGGCAAAGTCAGTGAGCTATTTTTTGCACTTTAAATTACTTATTGAATTCGTGCTAGATGCATTTTGAATGATTTTTTGTCTTATTCTTTCCTTGTGGACTGGTAGAGCCGAACAAATAAGCTTGGTTGTGTCAAACGGGCCCCTCATGACGGTGAATTTAATGTCCTTTTTTTTTGATGGTTGTGGCAAGCTATTGTCAGGAACAGCCCGTAACCCCTCCTTGCAGCCTTTCCTCTGGTTACCTAAGGCTCGACTCGTTGTCAAAAACCTCCCATGGGTCCCATGACAAACCTTTCGGGTTCCGGAAAGTCTGTCACTAGTGTAAAGAGCGAGGAGCGCAGCAGGTTCTTCCCGCGGTGGGGTAAACGCGAGGATCTCTCCGCCTGGCCTCTGTGTGGTGCTTCAGTCTCGCCTCGCATTGCGCATCAGGTGTGGTGACGCACGTGTGTTGACATTATGTCAGGAAAGCACCCGAGTGGCTGTCGTATTTTTATTTGCAGTCCGTTTTATTTTGTGTTTGTTTACTGAGCAGTACTGTGTAAGGTGTAGGGACGGGATGCCGGTATCGAGTACAGTATCTATACATTTGTTCTGCAATTCTCCAGTGTTCAATTATTTACTGTTCTGTGTGAGATGTGTTTGTTGTTTGATTAGACTAATTATAGGGTTTTAAAAAGATTTATTTCATCCTCTGTTATTTCACTTCTCTCTGTAGAAATGGGAGAATTTTCCCATCTCTCTCTCTGTCTCTTGACCTCCCAGCAGCTGCTACACTCTCTCTGGCTCTCTAGCCCCCCCTCTGTTATTAGCACACACACTTCCTAAGGACAATGAATCCCAATGTGCCTGCAACTCCTACCGCTTCTTCCTCACTTGCCAGCACAGTTAGGAAAAGTAAGGTGGATCGCTGCAACTTTGGGCATGGTTAATTCTCCATACCGAACAGTAGTCTCGCAATTGCTAAGAGAGGGTTGCTTCTGACTTAGGTAAGATTCGGGTTATCTAAAGACTTTCAGAATTGGAGCTTCACATATTCTGTGGCGGTGGGTGTATTTGAAGTTGAACCCTATCTAATTCCTCTTCGTCATTCAGCACCATCTTATAGCTTTACCACGTTACAGCTTATTGTAAAATCTTGAAGGGCTGTGTAAAATGTCTTATTTGGGTCTGCGTTAAAGTCCGTTTTGTGTCTTTCCAGACCCTATATTTCATTGGCTGAACTGGGACTCGGTTGTGAAGAGCCCTGCATTGTGATAGAGGCTTTGTAATTTCCCGTTGTTTTAAGAACGCAAGAGCAGTTACAAAGCAGAGGAAGCCATTTGGCCATCCTGCCTGTTTGGGTGGAAACATTCAGCTGTGTCTTGAAGGAATCCAGGATATCAGCTTCAGCAACATGGCTAGGTAACTTTTTCCATACTCCCAAAACCATTGAAATAATGAAGTACATTATTTTTTTGGTTTTAACTGCATTTCCATGTAGTTTCCACTTGTGCCTTTTGGTTTGTGTGTCACTGTTGATTCAGTGTTTTTGAAGATTTGAAATACTCGGCTTCTTGGGTTCTTTAAGCCTGTCATTAGGTCATTCCCATAAGCCCCGGAATGTGACTGGTGCTTTTCTCTTTACTGATTCCCGAACAGCAGGATAAGCAGCAAATGACCTTAAAAAGGATTTTGGAAGGGTCTGCAGTACTAGTATCCGAGTGTTATTGTAACGAAAGCATTCTTTCAGGACCCTATGCAGACGGCACGATCCGGGGTTGAGTGAGGAAAACATGGCGAAAAAGCATGCGGGAGTCGGGAATGAAAACAGGGGGCGTGTCCATGGTGCGCTGGTGTTCGGGGGAGGTGTGGCCGAGGCAAACAATCCAAAACTGTGTCCAAAGGGGAATCCAAGAAGAGGCAAAAGTCCAAAGCTGGGCGGTCCATCCAAGACAAACGGGGTTAAAAACAGGAACAGGGTCGGGAACAGGAACTAAAAACTTGACGGGACCAGGCGCTTCCAGGTCCCGGACTCGCCTGGTACAGAAACCAATGCAGAGCCCAGAACAGAGTAGGTGTCTGGCTTTTAAGGGGAACTGAAATGGGGGCTGGAACAGGGAGCAGGTGCGGGAGATGAGTGAAAAACAAGGAAGGGCTGGAGCGCCCTGAAGAGGAGGGGTTTATGAATGTGAAAATTCTGTTCAAAGACTTTTTCATCCCAAAGGGCTATGAGCAGATAGAACTTCTGCTGACGAAAGGTGACAAGCTTTTAGGTTGCAAAGTCAATGAGGGAAACCAGATTTCTTTTAAATACTGCCTCTGACTGACGGTAGATTTTGTCTGAAGAACAAATGGGACTCCATGAAACATCTTGCGCTGATGTTTCTGCCGCACAGGGACTGGTGACATTGGTAGACGTGTACATACAGTTCATGAGGCAGGTGTGTATCCACCCATACAAAAATAAATTAAAAGAAGAAAACTTTCCAGCCCTGTGGGCTCTGTGTTTTTAAATGCCACTTGCCAAACCCCATACACTATTACTCTGACGTTACAGAAATATACGAGTTCAAGTGGGCTAGCAGTGCTGTATACAGTATACTGTATTCTGCTAGATGTGTATTGATTAGAAACTATTGATAGAGACCTTGGTCATGAAAGCATTGAAACAAAAATATAGTAATGCCAATAAATGCATTAAAAATGTAATTAGAAAAAAAAAAGGAAAAAATGCATTGAAATACCAATGCGGTAATTTTCCCACAGAGATGTTTGAACAGCTTTGCTAATTATTTATGATACCTAATAACAATTAACCTAAAGCAAAATTACTGGTGCAAGGATAATGTACCTCTTCTCTGTTTATAAATGACTATTTTTCTGTATATGTGAAGTACTGTAAAGAGAAAGATTGTATTAACCATTTTTATGCGCAAACCATATTTCAGTTTTTGTTCAATGAGCTACAGTATATACAGGCTGTATCAGAAGTCTGGACCCATATGGAAAATTAAACAATATATCATTATTTTATTTTCTATTCAGATTGGCTACTATTAACATCCATATGCATAATGATTCTTGAATGATTCCACCGACATAAAAATACTGATCTGAGAGCTGGCATTCCTCGTGCTCTCCTTTAGTGCTGCAATATGGTTTGGTTTTGGGCTGTAAACCACAGATTCCAGGTGTTGCCACACAGAGTCCATGCCACTGCGCAGGACTGCATTTCGTGCGGCCAGATTGAGACAGTGGATCCACTTATTTCCTGAGTCCTCATTTCAGTAATACAAGATTATTTACAAGTGTTAGAATTTAAAACAGTTCCAAATGAGAGGCGTATCTGGATGGTTTTTTTTTTTTATTTTAGTGGTTGTACATGATGGAAATCAGCCGTTCATGCCGTGGAGAATACAGTGCAGAAACAGTGAATTAGGTAAAAGAGGAACTGATATGTGGATAGGTTCAATTCCAGAGATGGGGTGCTGTCCGTGTGGAGTTGGCATGTTCTCCCCGTGTTCATGTGGGTTTCCTCCAGGTGCTCTGGTTTCCTCCCGTGGTCCACAAACATACTGGCAGGTTAATCGGCGTCTGGGAAGATTGGCCCTGGGGTCAGTGTGTGCGTGTCTGTGTCTCTATGCCCTGTGATGGTGTCCCATCCAAGGTGTATCCTGCCCTTTGCCTGTGCCTTGCTGGGGGACCCCCCCCCAGTGACCCTGAACTCGAAGAAGCAGTTAGAAAACAGATGGATGGAGCAGAGGTACAGTGTACTGTGCCTGTCCAGTGTAATGGGACCACGATGATGCAGAGAACCCGTCAGTAGGTGCAGTGGGTAACTTGTTCCACGCTCCCACAATCCATTGCATAAAGAAGCACCTCCTGTTCTCAGGTTTAAATAGGTACTTCCACATAGTTTCCACTTCTATCCTTACGGCTGAATTGAATTGTTTTCGATCACGATAGGATTTAATATCACTGCGGCAGTATTAAGGTTGAACCGTACAGAATTAAAAATTATTTTTACAAGTGCTTGCATTTCCTGGTCTCCTGTTGTGGGGGGGTTTGGCATCGCACGAGAGATGGTGATTTGACCGTGCAGCTGTACGTATTCTGGGGTGTTTCACTGTTCTACTGTGGGTCAGTTGGGTGTTGGGTACATATCGCCATCAGCACATCGCGTCAGGACAGTGTTGCGGTAAGGCGGTGTGTGTGTGTCGCTGTGAATGGCTGGCACTGTTGCTGGGGACGAGTGGCCGTGAGGGCTCCCCCACATCGCCCCAGCGGCGCCCCAGCAGGGCCGTTTCTGGGACTCTGACAGCGGTCCCTTTTCTCTTGCAGCACTATTTCACCATCACCTTCGGCCATGATGGGCAGAAGCCCCTGGAGCTGCGGACCGAGGAGGAAACCGATTGTGAGGAGTGGGTGGAAGCCATTCAGCAGGCAAGGTATGCTGGGAACACGGGGGGATGAGGACGAGACTGTTTATTTCAACATATAAATATCGTCTTTCTAATCTTCTTTTTAATATGTTGTGAGGTGTATCATTCTAGAGATACATCCTAAAAAATCTGAAATCTGAAGACAGGCCCTGTTTCACAGTTTTGATACTGTTACATGTGAGACTTTAATGTCTGTGTTGTGAGGGTATCAAAAATGGCATTTTCACTTTAGATCATATACGAGGTTGATTCTGCACTTTCCTCTTTAAAAAGCTGAAAATGCTTTTTTGAACCACAAAATTAAATGCAGGCAGTTCTTTTGCCCTCCAAAAAATGTCATGTGTTTCCCGTTGTGCGCTGGAAATCCTTCCCGCGGAGACAAACAATCTACGATCAAAATCAACAGGCTGTGAAAAACTTGTATTGTGAGTAACTTCAAGCCCTTTCTCTTGCTCACTGAGTGACAGTGCAGTTACACACTGGGTTCGGGCTCTTTTTTCTGATGATGCTTGGAACAGCCGAGCTGTTAGAAATAATTTACTGCATCTGTTGGAAAAAAGTATTTTCAGATTGTGGAGCAGAAAATGGTCATAAACAACTATTAGTGCTGAGCAGAGGAATTGTCGAATCCTATACTGTAGACCGAGTTTTCTAAAGAGCCCGTAACCTAAGGCCCTTTCCAGACTGACATGAAACCCCCACCAGAAAAACTAATGTCTGCTCGTATTTATGTTTGACACCCAGTCATCGAAGCATTCTGTGACAGAATATTTCACTATTCGATAGGTGTCGGTAAAGTGACTCAAATCGCAAAATCTCAAATTGTTCTAATGCCTAGAGAAAGGACAGGCAGACAGCTAGATCGATAGATAAAGATAATACAATTCCACTCTCTGAAAGGCAACCTAGTTGTAAAGTCATAAATGAGTTTGTTACACAATTAAAAGCCATCTCATGACAACAACAGCTGGTCCCAGTTCCCTTTCATTATAGAAAAAGCAGGACTGCAGGTTGTTTACAAGCTCTGCTCCTTTTTCATTGTGGCGTTAAGCTGCCTGTCTTGTCTGTATTAAATGCCTTGAGCCGACACTGCTGGACTGATTCAGAGCAGAAATGAAACAATCCTAAGCAGAGCTGTCAGATGGATCAGATTTTCCTCCACGGTATGACAGGCGGTGAGCTCTGGCCTGGCTCTGATATGAGGAGTCTGGCTGAATGGCTACCACCAGCTTCAGACTTACAAGACTGAGGGAATTCCGGGCAATAAAAAGTTGATTCGGGTGTGATATCAAATGAGCATGCCCAACATCCAAACTCGCACCCTGTCCCGTAACAAAAGATCCAAAGTCAAAAAGTCAGATCAGGCTGGATATTTTTTAAATGTTAGAGATACACAATGGAAAAAATAGGGAACAGGGCGCGTGTGATGCTCTTGCGATGATACAGTCGCTCCCTAGAGCTCCTGCAGTAGGACTGTGGTCACAAGGGCTGTGGCTGACAGGTGTAGCGGGTTCGACCCTTGCCAGGGGTGAGCGGGCTGGATCCTGACAAGTACTGTATGCTTGAGACTGAAGCCATCACAGACAGGGAGGTGAAAAGACGCAGGGAGCAGAGATGTTGGGGGGAGGAGCAAGTGAGAAGCCGAGAAGTTACAAGGAGAAGATTTTTTTTTTTCCAAGAGTGGACTAGCACGCTTTATGTCCAAACCAAGGAGGGACAAGGTCTAGCTTTTATTTTGTTCGTCAGCACTGGTAACCTGTGTTAAGCAGAGCAATTAGGTTTTAAAGGGTGTGCATCAGGTGTTCCCTTGCGATTTATTTACGTTTCATCATACAGACACAGTAGAGCATCGTAGCTGGCAGCCACACCACACCCAGGACACATTCAAGATAAATATCTGGCTTTGGCATGAAACAGGCAAATCTGATGAGAGGACGTGCCCTTTTCAAGAGTCCCAGTGACATTTACCAGAATGAGCTGAGAGATCATACTCTCAGCAATAAGGCTGGACGGCATGCTTTTTCGGTATCAGTGTGAATCCCCCCTTTTATTGCAGATTATTTTTTTAATGTTTTAATCATGAATAACTTCTGCACTCATAATAGAGCAAGACGTGCCATTAAAGGCCACGCAGTTTCAAGCTGTATTGGCCAAAATTCTGGGCTGTCCTGGGGGCTGTAAAGAAGACATACAGTACTCCACCTGAAAGGAAAAAAATATTTATCATATCATGACTGCTTTGTTTGTTTTAATGAAGGCCATTTGATGTAAAGGTTAAGTGTTTCAAAATTGAATGAGCTTTTCTATCACACCGCTACCTATTTAGGAATAACCTGAGGCTGTTGTGAAAGATTTTCTTTTGAAGTGGACTGGCATTAACATATCAAAAGTGTTTTATTTTGTAGTTTCTGAGTCTGTGATATACATAATTCTTTGCAAGAGGTTTGTATGAGATCATATTTTTGGCTTGTGCTGTAGCTGTTTTGATTGTGAAGTTTGTCTTCTATTTGGATAACAAACTTCCAAATTTTATAATTAAATTTCGCCATTCACCTTTGTGCTTATTATACTGTAGAAGCACGTTACTCTTCCATACTAAAGACTAAAGAGTTTTTCCTTGTGGCTGCATTCAGGAAATCTCAGAAAAGGGCTTCCATCAAGCGTGAAATACAATACAAAATACAATTCTCATACTTTATGTAGAGCAAAAGCTCTGATATTGCTGTCTTATCAATCTAAACGTTTCACTGGAGGGTTTTGTAAAGGATCTTGAGAATCTGGGGGCTTCCATGTGGATAAATGGATGACAATTTCTATTTCTTCTTTCCTACTGTGGAATAAGGGGGTGGCACAGTGGGTCAGTTCTTGGACCCATGACTGGCGGGTTGTGGGTTCGAGTCCCTGCTGCAAACCCTGAGCATGGTGCTTTTCCCCAGCTGCTCCTGTCCATCAAGTGGAGGGGATTTCTAAGAAGTACTCCTTGAGATGGGACGTCAAGGGTGTCTAGCTCCTGACTGGAAGGTCCTGGGTTCAATCCTTGGGGATCAATCCTTTAGCGCCTTGGGGCAACCTTGTTGTGAAAGGCACTATATAAAAATAAATTGAATTACATTGAAATTGAAATTCAGTTCAATTCAATTCAATTCCAGGTAGGGGCAAGCGATGCAGCTTGCTCTAATTCCTTCCAGACAGCTCCCAGGTCCACTCAGCCTGCTTTCCAAGGGAGTACCGGGGGTTAATCCTTCCAGGGGTAATAGGCCGGCCGGAGCCTGATGCTGACCACATCACCTCCACTTCCAGTGTTGGATGGTCAAGAAAAATGGTGGCCCTTGCCCCCCATTCCCCATGGACCTTATGGCCTGAAAAGGGACCTACTGACTTACTCCTTGAGATATTCTTATCCCCAGGGGGAGGGGGAGATACATGCTTTCTGTTCCTTGCAATGCTACAGAAACCAGGAGGAGCTGTGGCCCCATCACCCTCGGACAGACTTTACCCTTTTACTGCGGAATAAAGGATGAAATAAATTATGACACTACCTACTTAATTCTGATTCATCTGCGCTCCGGAGTATGCCCTCTGATCTCTGTATTATTTCATTCTGTATGAGATACTGCAGAAATTTCCACGGTCTTGTGAGACATTAAAGAGAGTTACAATGTGTATTTGGTACTGTCCTGTACCACATTTGTGATTTCTCAGGTTGGCGAACATTACAGATAAGCGTAGACCAATGAAATAAATTTCCAATGTGTATACTGTAGGATTTGCAACAGGACCAGGAGTGAGTAACAGTTTTCTAGACTGATGGGTGGATCTTATAAAAATAGAACTCATTCCTATTCATTTCTGAACCACACAAAATAGTCTTGAAATCACGCATCCATATTCTGTCTTAAGCCATCATCGCTGCTGTTATTTTGCAGTTATTCTGACATCATCATTGAGAGGGAGGTGCTGATGCAGAAGTACATCCATCTGGTGCAGATCGTGGAGACAGAGAAGGTGGCGGCAAATCAGCTCAGACACCAGCTGGAGGACCAGGACACCGAGATAGAGAGGCTGAAAGCGGAGGTATGGTGTTCCTCTTTGGAGGAAATATTAAACAGTTCTTTGATAATTATATTTATATACTCATTGCCCTTGCAGCTGGCCTTACTCCTTCATTTCAAGATACAGAGTTTCTCAGCTCAACATTAATACATGCAATGGAGAGGAGCAACCTCTGTAACTGAGACTTGCAGTTGCACTTGATCATGTTCAGGGGTGAACAGCTAACATCTGTCACGATCGCAAACCCCTCCTCTTAAGGGCGCTCCAGCCCTTCCTCGTTCTGCCTCATTCCCCGCTCCTGTTCCTTATTCCAGCCCCTTTTCAGTTCCCCCTTAAAAGCCAGAGGATCACTTCAATCGAGGCTCTACATTGATTCCCATATGATGCGAGCCCAGGTCCTGATGCGTCTGGCTTCGTTATGGTTTTAACTTTCTGTTCCTGTTCCCCCTGCCGGTTCCAACCCAGGTTTTTAACCTGTCTGTTTTGGAAGGATCTCCTGGCCATGGACTCATGCTCGTTTTTGGATTCCCCGTTTGGACTTCCTGGATTGTTTGCCCCAGACTCACTCCCCCTGGATACCTGCGTACTTTGGACACGCCCCCCCGTATTCATTCCTGATTCCTGCATGACTTTTTCCTAGTGTTTCCTCACTCCATCCCGGATTGTGTTGTCCGCATAGGGTCTGGAAAGAACTGTTCGTGACACGTCAGTGCTCATGAGGTCTGGAGGGGAACCGCAAGAGGGACTTGACTCTCCTCAGGTTTTTTTCCCGCAGTGACCCCTACTGGGCGGGTATCTGTTGAGCCCAGCTGAACATGGGCTGGTTTGAACAAGGCCTGTGTTCACCAGAATACCAGGCTCCTCAAAGCTCCTTAATTGCATTGGGTATACATATCCTTGTATCTCATGTACTGTACAAGTCCATGTATTGCCAAGAAGAGCCCCACACTGTCCTAGAAAGAAAGAAAACATTACATTAGAAATCAAACTGAAAAATCCTCCTGTTCAAATAGTTTATGCCTGTGGAATATGGTGTCTGCTAAGGCACAAATGAAGTAAAACATTGATTTGCTTACAAACCTACTGTACAGCCATATTCAGCATTGCCTCTGATCTCGTTGATCTGCTCATGATTATAAAGAGATGGCGTATAGCTGTAGGAGAAGGGATTGTTATTCAGGAGGAAGTAAGATTATTATCTAAAGTGGAAGTCCTATAACTGACAATATTCTAATGCTTGTGCTGCAGTTGAATCGATTTTAATCTCTGCTTGGTGTAGTTCATGTGCACTCGCTACCAATGCCTTCATCCTTTATTTGCTGATGGAAATTTCCAACGGTTAAGCAGAGTGCCTTCCTCATTAGTGAGCTGTGGATTTTTCTGGATCGCGTCTCGCAATCATGCTTTAGAACACAGTGCCAGGGAATCAGTGGTAAGACAGGGAGGATCCTTCTGCGTAGCCGTGAATCCTGCAGAATGTAGAGCAGCACAGGGGCAATATCCAAAACACCTAATCCAAGAGCTTGGTCGATGGGAGAAGCAATGAGTCCGGTAACCAGGGGAATCCGAGAAAGACAATCCGGAAAACGAAATCCAAAGAGCGTGGTCGAAAAAGGCAGAAGCAAAGATTAGGAACCAGGAGATCAGTCAAAAAGGTTGAACCGCGCACAAGAGAATACTACGGGAGGCTCCTCGATAGTGAGCGTGGGTTGGTGCGTGAGGGGACTTTAAATCCTGAAGGGAGAGGGACGTGGTTGGATAATTGGTCCGGGAGTGAGAATTTGTGGAATCTGGTGCCTGTGGGAATGTGATGGGTTCAATTAGGAATGAGATCGTGAAACAGTGGGTTTGGGAATGTAACGGCGTCTACGAGGGAGAGTGTGGGGCATGACACACAGGGCAGAAACAGGAAGACAATGTGCTGCTGGAAAGTTCTGGGCATGGAAACCTCTCAAAGAGGGGTGCCGCTGGCTTCTTAGAGGTCAGGGAGGCTCCGATAAGCCTTGTTGGTGCCATGTATTATTACACTGGTGTTCAACAGGTGCAAAAAACACTATATTAACTATATTAAGGTTTGTGCTGATTTTGGAATAAAAACAGAGACGTCTGGCTGAAAGCTAGAAAGTGTCTCTGCTTGAGGAACCCGTATAATGATTCCTGTGCAGATTGTGTGTTGGAGTGTTGCAGAGGGCAAGCCCTCCCTGTGTAGCGGTGAGGCTTATTAATAAGGCAGAATTAAGTGTTTCTGAGCTTTCCCAAATTAGGCCTCATTTCTCTGTTCATCTCTGTGGTGCAGCCACAGAGAAACTATCCATGCAGGCTGATTTAGGGTTCCTTTGATAAAAGACAGCTCCCAAAGGGGGATGCACTTAGCTAAGCCTGGCTATCATGATCAATGGTCATCCATTGGCGCCTATCTGTCTAGGGAGTGCCAGATGGACATCTGGACTGCATTCCTAAGTGTCAGGAGTAAGTGACTCATATCTCACCTTGATCAACCAATCAGGGACTGGTAGGGCCGAGTAACCCACGTGGGACTCTGATGCCCATGGAACTTTCAGCCAATCAACGAGCTGAAGTTCCTCCAGGTAAAAACAGGCAACACAGAGAGCCTGAGAGATTCGAGATTCAGAAGGGAAGATTCAGTGAGATTCAGTGGACAATTCAAAAGGGAATTCAAAGGAGAATTCCAGGGCAGGACGGCCCAGGAGCAGAAGGCTCCCAAGGGCAGGACATTCTCGCAGCGCGCCTCCTGACCATCCTGAGACTCAGCCCGGACAACCACGGAACGGCCAGTGTGTCCGAGTGCCAGAACTTTCCTTTGTTCTAAGAGTCTAGAGTGGAGGTTGCCAGAGAGTAACCAGCAGCAGGCCTCGTGAACAGGTCGGAACTGTGGACAGCTGAATCACTATTCAGAACTAGCTCTTCATCAGGAACGAACCGGTCCTCTTCCTGACTTGCTGGGACCCACAGTCATCTTTTCTCCTGTGCACAAACTTTGCTAGTTAAAGCCAACACTAACTAGCCGGTCAGTGAGCATCTGCAGCGCACCGTCGCAAGCCGCACAGCACAGCCTGGCACGGAGCCAGAGAGCTGGAGAGTTGGACAGCAACAGCCTGCAACTGTTTCTTTGTGCCCGCAGGAGATCTGAATCCCCAGAGATTGGATGAGTATTCAACTTCAATGCATTAGAGCTCGAGAATTCAATTGTTATCCCAACCAGTTGATATCAATTTAATTCCTTAGAGTTATGTACTTGTTTTGAGTATCTAATTTAGAAGTTATAACCAAGTTCATTTATGAAACGGTCTTAATGAATGATATACTGAACGTATGTCCTCTTGATATGTGTAACTCTTTGTAACTGACTGAATATATACCTTTTGTATTCTGATAACCCTCTCGATAAGATCTGTTAGGTTTACATATTTTATGTATTAATAAATGTATCCTCGTGTATTAGTACCTGTGTGTGTGCGTTGTTTGAGTTATGTCGCATGGTTGGATTCTAAAGCCATCAAAAGAATCAACTTTGTGATTTACTGCTACAATTAATAATTGTCCAAACCCTACAGAACTGGTAACTTCAGAGAGCCACTACATTTAATTTTGCTATGGCAATGATTACATATTTGGCGTCCCTGAGCCGGTTTTCTTACACCTCTATACTGAAAACACTCTTAATAAACTGCCTGGTGATTTTGGAGTGGAGATACCAGCAAAAGCCATGAAAATGTGTTGAAATGAGGCAGTAGACTGCTGGTTTGCGTTGTATTCCTCACAGATCTTGGGTCCTGGGTATGATTGTGGGGTGGAGTTTGCATGTTCTCCAGGGGCCCTCCCACATTCCAAAGACATGCTTTCGAAAATAATCGACATATCTGAGTTGTCCCCTGTGTATGAGTGACCTTTAATGGCCTGGGGTTTCATCCAAGGTGTTACGTGGTTATTGAAAATGGATGGACGTGCTGAAAAGGTTTTTTTTCCCTTTCCTCCCAAATCTGGCTCAGTTCCAAAGTATGGATTTTGCAGAAATGCTGTGAAAGTTCATTTAATGAAGGGGCTGATAAACATTATTATTGAAACTGTGTTTTTTTTGGTTTGCTTTGTGTTTCTGCTATTGTCTTGCAGTTGATAGTAGTGGTAATTTTGGTAGAGGTTGGAAACCAGGCTTGGTTTCTACAACATTTGTATTGAAAGTATTACCATATTCCTGATGCTCCAGCTTGCACTGTGTATTGCATTGTGTACAGTATTTGTATGTCCTCAGCTTTCCAGGTTTTACACAGATGTAATTCCATTTTAATTTTCATTTCCAAATGAACACAACGTCATGTGCAACATGAGTCTGCTCGGACCTTTCTAAAGTTGCCCCTGAATGAAGCAAGTGAAACTGTTTCTCATTTCTGAGCCTGGTCTGCTGTGTCAATAGGTGGCCGGTGTGCCTCACTCTCCTCCTCTATGTGTGCTTTGGTGTTTGGCTCCCATAGTTATGACAGTGTGTTTTCTTTCCTTAGATCATTGCCCTTAATAAAACAAAGGAGAGGATGAGGCCCTACCAGGGGAATCAAGAGGAAGAAGATCCTGACATCAAGAAGATTAAAAAGGTAGCATGACGTGTTCCTTCCTCTGTGCGTGCAGTACGCGCTTTGGATAAGATAGATAGGATCTACGGAAAGGCCAGGTAGAGAGAAAGAATAAATAAAAATGGACTAAATATCACATCATTTCCAGTACCAGGCTGACCCCAATATTCAAGGTTCAAATCATTTTGCTGACATGATCCAGATGGCATCAGTTGAACTCCTTCTTGAAACATGAAGCACATGCAACGTGCGCTGCAACACCTGCTGAAACTGCAGGTGTCTTGGAGTTTTTTCCCAGATCTCTTTGGAACACCCTTATACATTGTCCCCGATGAGCTGCGTGAATGGAAAACACCCCTGTAGGTTGGGTTTTTAATAGGCTGGGCTGGACCACCTGTTTCCCATTCGGATTCTCACTCATCTAATCATTGGCCATTACCGCAACTCGTACAGAGGAGCAGAAACAGCGTTGTGACAAAAAGAGTGACAGAGTCCCTTGCTGATGACCACACTCTTGGGAGTCTATAAGTAGGATGTTCACTAGATGTTCCCAGCTTATATGAAACCTTCGGCCATTTACCCTCCAACTTGAGGCTTATGCGAAGGTAAGACCTGGCAGAGTAGCAGGCACAGAACCAGCTGATTGTGATAGACCTGTCTGTGTTTCTATGCTGCAGACTTATGGAGCGACTCCATATACAATGTGTTGCATCATCAGTGAATTACGTTTGTACATACAATTTGTTAAAAGCAGAATTCCCAGGGTTATGTTCAAATCCTTCACAGTTCTGTCACAACAAGCCAACCTGCGGTCAATACAGAAATGGTGCTACAAAAATGGCACACAAATTAAATCCTAATACTTAAGGATAGGTACTAATGAGATGTCATTAAGTCCATCTAGTTTGTTTGGGAATAGCAAATTGATGTGGGGATCTTTTCTTGAAAGAAGCCAGGGTATCAGCTTCAACAGCATGGTTGAGTAGCTTGCTCTATACCCCCACAAGCAGGGGACCAGTAGAGTCTTCTCTGCTTAAGACTAATAAAGTTCAGTTCCTTCACCCTGTCAGTGTAGGACATTCCCTTCAGCCCTAAAATGTTATCTGGATGCTCTTCTCTGTAATAACTCCAGAGCAATGAAAACATTGAAGCTTTTAATTGAAATATTAGAAAAAGAGTGATCTTAAAAGTGGATTTGAAGAAATTAAGTTAAAAAACACACAGACTTGGGTCTTCAGTTGCCTTTGTGTGTTGTAGAAGAATACTTTGTCCCCAGGTGAAGTGAGGAATTCTGAATTGGGGTTTACTCGAGCACAATCTGTAGACCACAAATTATGTTTAGTTTTAAAAAAACGATATGAGCAGGACACTCGCTCGCTACTCCAAGGCAACGTGATAGATGCTGCTGTTAAGGCACTCAGAGCCCTCCACTGGGCCCTGTGCACATCAATGTCGTGTGACATGAGTAAATAAAGCCTTACTTGGTGTGTATTTACGTGGTGTCCTACTGTGAAGAAAACATTGCTGTCTAAGAGCGTGATCTGGCATGGCCAGTGACCAGGCAGACTTTGGCCCTCACAGCTGCTGCCGGTGTGGCTCTTGAAGTCGGCCCCGTTGTGTCTCGTGTCCTGCAGGTGCAGAGCTTCATGCGCGGCTGGCTGTGCAGGAGGAAGTGGAAGACCATTGTTCAGGACTATATCTGCTCTCCCCACGCAGAGAGCATGAGGAAGCGCAACCAGATCGTCTTCAACATGGTGGAGGCCGAGACCGAGTACGTCCACCAGCTCTACGTCCTGGTCAACTGCTTCCTGCGGCCCCTGCGCATGGCGGCCAGCTCGAAGAAGCCGCCCATCAGCCACGACGATGTCAGCAGCATCTTCCTCAATAGGTACCAGTCGGCCTCGGAGACGCTCGGCGGGATGTGGGACTGTTTCGGCGCACTAGCGATTCCACGGCATCCGACCCAGAGCCGGAAATTGTTTTAAACCACTGACAAGTCTAAAGACTTAGAGAACAAGGCCTTGAAGTTGGAAATGTCCTTTTAGTTGGTGCGAAAAAACATCACTGGGCATACCTGAGCCTTCTCATTTCCACTTTGTGCTTCTAGTTAATAAAATGCTTTGGGAAAAAAAGTACAGTATTAGTGACCTGCATTTTAAACTCGTAACACCGATCTACAGTATATTAAATGTATTTTGTATTTTTTTTATCAAACTGCTGATCAGTCATTGAAGCGTGATATTCTAAAAGAGTTCTAAAAGACGCAAGTGGACAATCTTATCAGTGCCTACTGTATTATACGTTTTTATGTAAAAAAACAAGGACAAACAGGGAAAAGATGTGCAATTACATGGTGTTATACAGACCGTGCATACAGTAGATGACATACAGCTTGTATTGTGTCTTAATGTTTATTGTATAGTTTTGAAAAAACAGACTCTTGCTTTTACTCTTTTTGCAGTGAGACTATAATGTTTCTTCATGAAATATTTCACCAAGGCCTGAAGGCACGAATTGCAAACTGGCCGACCCTAGTTTTAGGTGAGTGCTGCACGGGGCTCCTTAGGGAGCAGACCTGTGACTGTGAATCTGTGTGCATGTCTGAAGGTGTGTTAGCAAGCCCTGCAGCACATGATATACAGATGCATGAAAAGGAATACATTTTGAAAGGGCGATGTGTCATTTTTGCAAAATGTATTCACACAGACTGCCTAGAAACATGATCCTCATCCTATGTTCTAGAAGTAAAGACACCAGAGAAGACTGTGCTGCCCTAACACAATGGCTTGTGGGATAAATACTCCATGAATCAACGCTCTAAAAGACAAACCGCATCTTGCTCTTCCTGCTAATCATTTCCTAGGCTGCAGCTACCTATGTTATTTTGCTCCACCAAAAGAAACCATGTTATAGACGCTGGGCCTGATTCATTTTTACAGCCTTCTCTCTGTTTTTTCTCTTCCTTTGTTGTAGCTGATCTGTTTGACATTTTATTGCCCATGCTGAACATTTACCAGGAGTTCGTGCGCAATCACCAGTACAGCCTGCAGGTGTTGGCGAACTGCAAGCAGAACCGGGACTTTGACAAGCTGCTGAAGCAGTACGAGGCCAACGCCGCCTGTGAGGGCAGAATGCTCGAGACTTTCCTCACCTACCCCATGTTCCAGGTACACACCTGCCTTTCCCTGCCATTCCCCCGTTACCAGAGGGTTTGTCAGAGTCCCAGCTTAATAATTCGCATTGGTCTTTTGCACTTCACAGTGCACACCTTCTGCCAATCCTGCTAGCATTCTTGAATCACCAAAGCCCAGGTCTCTGATTAAATGGCAAACGCGTTTAGATGAAGCCAATAATGAATGAACTCTTTTGATTCAAATAAAAACAAATGAACTCTTTCACATTTGGAGTCAGGATGAAAACCAGCCCCCTAGAAGAAGCCACTTCATTGCTTTGTAAAAAGTAGATTAAAAGTTGAAGCTTGACTCTGGTAATTTTACAGTCCTTGATTTAGATTTAGAATATCCATTTCTGGCTAATACATATCCATTTTAACTTTGAGTGACTTTTATTGGAGATTTATAATACCCTAAACTGTGTGCAGGTTGGAAAAGTATTATTTGGAATGCAACTGCAGCTAGGAAAAGACATCTCATTGTGTGCTATTAACATAATCTCAGGTTTGGATGTCCTTCCATGCTAATCACTGAGGGAGTACCTTATTCTGGACGTAAAACCTGTATATGATTTCAGTTAAATCTGACAGATTTGTGATTTACAGCAGTGGGCTCACAGCTGCTTTGTGTTCAACAGATACCAAGGTATATTATAACTCTCCATGAGCTCCTGGCTCACACGCCGCACGAACACGTGGAGAGGAAGAGCCTGGAGTTTGCCAAATCCAAACTGGAGGAGCTGTCCAGGTGAGCCATTTCCAGGCAAGCCAGTGTCGATCAGAGTGATCCCAGCTGGACAGTAAACAAGGCTCTAAATACAAGGCAGGCCTTCCCACACTCTTGTTTTCTCATGCTTTCCTTAACAGTTTAATTTACTCCCAAAGAAAAAAATCAATAGCGTCTCCCTGCACTTCTCCTTTAACATCTGTAACATATGATGTTAGCTTCATTCTGTGGCATATTTATTTAGAACACTACTAGCTTCTACTAAAGCACTAACAGGCATTAGTTGAAAATAATATTTCTTGTCCTTTCAAGAATTAAAATCTGCTTTAATAATTCAGGATTCCTGCTCTTCGTAATTCAATCTAATTTCCTCATGGCTTAATGCATAGCGATTCTGAAAGCCAGTGAGTGTCCTTTCATCATCTTTTCCAATCCCCCTTTCACTCATTCTGAATGAGCCCTGAGTGCTGAGCTCAATCAGGCAGACCTAATAGATTCTGTTTAGTCAACAAACACTCCTGTGACTTATCTCTCTAGCAGTCAGTCCCAAATAACACCCATGGAGAAACACTGCAACACATAAGTCTGGCTAAAAGATTTATTTTGCTGTTGTGTCCTCTGGAGTAAAATCCTTGTCCAGTGTGTGTTTGAACAACAAGCATTTGAAGGATAAGCCCACACTGGGAAGCAGTAAGTTTCTGTGTCTGTAGTTATATCTGTAGTATGTTATACTACACTGTCCACTTTCAGTTGCATTCTTTTCTGTTGGCAATCGAATGCAAAACAGCTTTTTAATTAAAAGACATAGAACAACATTGAAGTATGTTCCTCAGCACTGAGGGGAGCTGAGAGGGCGTGTATCGCAGCAGCAAGGGCTGTGATATTGCTGCTCTGGGCCTCAGCACGCTGCGTGTCCTTCCAGGGTCATGCACGACGAAGTGAGTGACACTGAGAACATCCGCAAGAACCTGGCCATCGAGAGGATGATCGTGGAAGGGTGCGACATACTGCTCGACACCAGCCAAACGTTTGTTCGGCAAGGTGAGGGAAAGGGCATTCGCTCATTCTGGCGAGAGAACGGCCGGCGCCAATTTCCCCGCCCACTGTGCGCCTAAACTCCCGTACTCATTTACACACACCGATTCCCAGGGACTGATTAATGAATGTGGCTTCTGGAGATGATGCCGCCATGCATTTCATTAGAGACCTATAGCAGAAGACATACTGTAGAACAACATTGACATATGTTCCTCAGCACTGAGGGGGATCTCACCATGGCGGTGCAGTGGCTCTGTGGCTCAGGATCTGCGCCTGTGGCTGGAAGGTTGCCGGTTTGTATCTCGCAGCCAGCAGAGGAATGCTACTCCATTGGGCCCCTGAGCAAGGCCCTTAACCCCAACTGCTCCAGGGGTGCTGTATAAATGGCTGACCCTGCGCTCTGACCCCCAGCTTCTCTCCCTGTCTGTGTGTCTCATGGAGAGCAAGCTGGGGTATGCTAAAAGACAAATTCCTAATACAAGAAACTGTATGTGGCCAATAAAATGATCTTATCTTAGAACACACTGCACAGAACAAAATAGTAAAAAAAAAGTAATGAGCTGCTACATTTTACAACTCCTTCAGGGAATGGAATTAATTGTCCTAAAATAAGAAGCTCTCTAGCATAATGTCAGTTTCCTAGTAGTGAAATAATATACAATGTTCATATTATCTTTAAGAAGAATTAAATAATTGGAAAGCAAAAGTACATGCACAATTAGACTGTAGTTCTTTTTCAGTGTCGAGTACAGTGTTAAAAAAGAACAATACGTTTATTTTTCAGTACTTAAAATATAAAACCAGTAACAGTCTTGCCACAGAACCTAAGAGCCCCAGTGTAAACTCTTTAGCTGACCTAAGCTTCAAATAGAATGTCTTTATGTCTACGAAAATGTTGCTAAAAGCAATTTCAAGTGAGAGAATGCAGCAGAGCCACACGAGCAAATGTTGTCCTGTGTTATTGCGGTCTGATCCCAGAAAATAATGGTAATGCTTTCCTCCAGCTGTTGTATTTTCCTTGGCTTTACATTGTGTTCTGTAGGGGGTTTCCAGAGGCTTCAGTACGTCTTAGACAGCAGGTCCACAGATACTGACAGGAGCCTGTGTTTGTGGGCCTTTTCAAGCAGCACGTCCCGTGTCCTGTTCGTTAGATTTAGACTCCCCTTGCCTTATGCTGCATCGGCCTTCTTCCTGTCTTGGCTGAGGGCGCCGTGGCATTGCGCCACCCTGAGGTACTGAGGAGCCCACTGTGTCTGCTCTCTATCCCTGCTCCAGGCTCGCTCATCCAGCTGCCCTCTGTGGAACGGGGGAAGCTCAGCAAAGTACGCCTGGGGTCCCTGTCCCTCAAGAAGGAAGGAGAAAGGCAGTGCTTCCTGTTCACCAAGCACTTCCTCATCTGCACCAGAAGCTCTGGAGGCAAGCTGCACCTTCTAAAGGCATGGCCATCTCGTTTCCCTTCTCTTAGTGTTGTCATAGCAGCGTCTCTAACACCAGGACCAAAGAATAAACTACCAAGGGTTTTAGCAGTTACTGCCCAGAGGCTCCAGCTTCCTTTCCCAAATGTATTCTCCTGATTCCTGTATAAGTATTTATTCCTGTATAAGTATTTTCCTATATTTTAAGCCAGCAGCCATATCACCCTGCAACTCACAGCCAGCAGCCCACTGAGGCTCAGCAGGTGTGAACCTGGTCAGTACCTGGAAGGGAGACTCCTTCGGAAAAACTAAGGATGCTGCTGGAAGAGGTGTTAGGCCAGCACGGGGCGCTCACCCTGCGGTCTGTGTGGGTCCTAATGTCCCAGTATAGTGACAGGGACACTATATTGTAAAAGGGCGCCGACCTTCAGATGAGATGTAAAACTGAGGTCCTTACTCTTTGTGGTCATTAAAAATCCCAGGGCGTTTCTCGAATAGAGTAGGGGTGTTACCCCGGTGTCCTTGCCAAATTTCCTCTCGGGCCTTACCAGTCATGGCCTCCTAATAATCCCCATTTCTGAACTGGTTTCTTTACTTCTGCTCTCCTCCCCACTGAGAGCTGGTGTGTGATGAGTGTACTGGTGCACTCTGGCTGCAGTTGCATCATCCAGGTGGGGCTGCACACTGGTGGTGGTGGAGGGGATCCCCATTACCTGTAAAGAGCATTGAGTGGAGTATCCAGAAAAGTGCTATAAAAGTGTAAGGAATAATAATACATTTTTCCTTTTTGCTACATAAATGGGTATTCCCGCAAGGCTCTGTAGAAATATTTGTAGATGTAAATGTAAGGTAAGGAATGGGCAGCTTTGTGGAGCTGTGGTCTGCATTGCTGTCTCGCAGCTCTGAGGCCCTGGGTTCAATTCACTTCTGGACCTGGGGTGCTGTCTGTGTGGAGTTTGTAAGTTCCCCCTGGGTTCACGTGGGTTTCCTCTTGGTGCCCTGCTGTCCACCCAGATATACTGGCAGATCTTCTTTAGCTTCTGGCTAAACTGGCCCTGGTGTGAGTGTGTGTGTCTATGTTTGCCCTGCGATGAACTAGTGTCCCGTTCAGGGTGAATCCTGCCTTGCGCCCCTTGCATGCTGGGATATGCTCCAGCTCTCCCATGACCCTAACCTGGATGAAGCGGTTCGGAAATGGACGGATGATGAAGAATATATGTTCAGATGTGCTTTGTTTCTGTGACCCTTATCGTCTTGGATGAAACATAAGTTCCCTGAAAAACCCATTCAGAGAGAACACATGAGTAAAGACAAACACAGCTCACTGCTTAGCCCCTACCAGCACTGAGGAATGATCCTAACTGCTATTTAATAAATTACTGTTGTACCTTACAGGTCAGGTATCTGTCTAACAGTGAGATATAGAAGCAAAATAACTTTCTTAAGCGAAACTGTGACAAGACGTCAATGCTGTTGTTCAAGGTGCTAAGATTTAAAGTGCATGTTAAGATAGGACAGGGTTATCTGTATACCACTGGTTCTATATTGGACCCTTGCTCTGTCTATCTGACACTGAAATATTGATGCACGCCTTTATTTAATCAAGATTAGACTGCTGTAAAAAAAAAAAACCTTACTTCCGGAGTATTTTCCAGCTAAAAGTTCTCTGCATAAGTGCATAACTCCTTTGTTTCTTAAATTGCACTGACTCCCTGTGAAATTTAGAGGCACTGAATAATGACTTATCGCCTGTGTGTGGTCCAACTCTTAATCTTTAGAAGCCCAGGCTCCACATGGTGGGCGGTAGAGCTTCTTATGTGCGGAACAGCATCCAGGGAGCTCTCAGCCAACATCCACTAGGAGTCTGTCTTGTCATCATTTCCAGCTTGTGCTTTAATGTGCCTAAACACCTACTGTACCTTTTCACGATAGCACTTCATGTGTTTTTTTCACTTTATTTATCTGCATTTGCTGCATGCTATTACTGTATATAGCACTTGGATTGTTCAAAACCATTTGTGAATACAGTCGCAAATAAAGGGAAATTTAGTATTTCAGCCGGGTATCGTGCTTCCTACTTAACTGGCTAGTTGTTGGTGGAGATTAGCGGAGTTCCATATTGACTTTTTCAAGGGTTATTAAACCCCAAAATGGAAAATCATCTTACGAAAAAGAAAAAATTGTGTTGAAATGAAGGGTGATGTTTTGGGGATGAAACTTAAGAATGTGAGGACAACAGAGTGGAAATTTCAAGATATTACAATGTTAATGCAGGTACTGTACTATCATTACATTATAATGGAATGTGCTCTTGTTTCCTTCATACTTTCACTGTTAACTTCCTGTACCATCAAATTAGATTCCTTTAGTAACTTCTGTGTGACTAAATGTGTAAAAGTGTATGTAGCTTGTTCCAGACCCCTACAGATCCTCCTGTTAAGCAGCCGGGAAACAGTTTCTATACAGAAAAATTATTTTCCACTAATTTTCTAAAGGATTTCACTAAAACACTTAATACATTGAAACTTATAGGGTTTATCAGAAGCTCCAGTTCTTCTGCATGTCCTGCACTTACATGAGGCTATTTTAATTTATAAAAAATGTCTTTCTCTTTGTTTGGCTTATGCTGAGCTGAGGAATTTGTATAACACACCAGTTAAATAATGCGTTCTCTTGTAGCCCAGCCATAAGTGCGGCAAAGACAGACAGAGACTGTGCAAGCTGAGCCTAGATCTTTGCGGTGCAGAAAAAAAATATTTTTATTTCTCCGATATTTCTCAGTGGTCGCATGTGCTTAAATTTAGTATTATTTTATGAGCCAAAGATGACAAAGTAAGAATTAGTTACCAGTGCAAATGGTAACTAATGCTTTCTTTAACACCCATACATTACTGAAGAAAATCAGCAAATATGAAAAGTAAAGAAAAAAAAAATTCTCTATACTCCTCATTCTTTCTATTTTGGAAACAGACACCTCTAATCTTTCCCCTTCCTTCACACAGCAAGGCGGAGTCCTGTCTCTCATTGAATGCACGCTGATTGAGGAGCCAGATGCCAGTGACGAAGACTGTGAGTAGAATCTTTTTTGATTTATTTTAAATTCAGTCACCAAGCTTTTTCACAGCCTCTCCCCTGTGGTGTGGAGGCGAGGTGTAAAATGTATTCCACACGGCCTGTATGAGCATTCAAGGGACGAGGAAACTGCAGGGCTTCCTCCAAAATGTGCCGTTTCTTGAAAGAAGCCATGGTCAATAACATGGCTGGGTGACTTGTACCAGACCCCCACCACTCTTTGTGTTAATAAGCGTCTCCTGTTCTCAGTCCTGAATGTACTTCCACGTAGTTCACGGCCTTTTAGTGTAGCCTGGTCCCAGTCAGCTCATGGCACAGCAATTTCTCAAATTACAAAAGCATCTACAGTAGACTAACAGATCAACTAACTAGGATAATATCCTTGTATTGGAAAGTGTAACTCAGATATGACTTTGACTTAAAGTATTTTTACTGCATGCATTTGGACATATTATTGTTCTGAAACATTTCCTACTATATTACTTTTGTATAAAGAGGGTTATTGATTTAGAGGTACCTTTTAATGTCTTCCTTTTTAATTTCAAAGGGAGCAGGGAGGCCAGGCCTCTGTAAAGCGTGTGCGCTCCTCTGCTCTCTTAAATCGGTTTGCGTGTCAAATCCGCGCTGTGCGTTCCCTGAGAGCGGGCGTTCTTCCTCGCAGCCAAAGGCACCGGCCAAGTCTTCGGGCACCTTGACTTCAAGATTGTGGTGGAGCCCCCGGACGCCCCCTCGTCCACGGTGGTGCTGCTGGCGCCGTCGAGGCAGGAGAAGGCAGCGTGGACTAGTGACATCAGCCAGGTAAGCCAGCACCGGACCCCCCTGTCACGAACACGGACTGGAATCCGTGTCCGATCTTGTAGAAGACCCTATGCGATGCGGTTAGAGCTGGACAAAAGGGGAGGCGTGGTAAAAGGGAACACACAGGGGTTTAATAGTGCACAAAATAATAGTGACAGTCCGTGAGACGGTGTACGGGGAAGACAAAACGGCATCCAAATCCAAACGGGTCCAAGGGCAGGTCAAAGCACAGTGCGAGAGTCCATCAACTGGAAATCCATCCTGGGACGCGACAAAGTTTAAATCCCCGGGAGGGGGGGAGCACACGGACAGACGAAACATGGAGGTCCAAGGGTGACGGGGCGAGATCCTCCAGACCCCGGGCTCAGGGAGCGGGAGGTGTTGGGGATCAGGCCTGTGCCCTCAGGAGACGGACGTAGGGTTTCCTGGTGCTAGGCGGGCCTCGCGACATCTCACCTTAATGATGAGCCCCGAGGACTGGAGGAGCTGGTCTTTAAATAATAACACTAAAAGGGTACACCTGGGGAACTAAATCACACGAACAATAATGGGAGCAGTGGAGCGCCCTCTAGGGAGGGATGTCGGGCGTGACACCCCCAGTTTCACAGCTCAGCCAGCACAGGTCATGAAGACCAGCACTGGGAAGGCATCTTCCACATCAAGAATGCTTCAGGCTTTCGAAGTGCTTTCTTTTAATTAATCTGACAAAGCTGAATATTTTTGCAGAATGAAGTAAAAATAATGGGCCTTTCTTTTTGCGTTCTTCTTTTTCTTTTGCACATTATACGATGTGTACTTTGGTGGCGGGGGGGGAGAAATGCTAAAAGGATTTATTCTGCCGTGAAATGTGATGGTGTTCTATATTTTCTGACCGTCAAGGAAAGGGATCCAGGCTTTTGAGAATGTATTGTATTTCCCTGTGTGTTGGTCTCATTCACAGCTGTAGAACCGGGGCACCTTTATTCCCAAACGCAATATTGCAGCAGGTGGATTTGTCATTAGCACAGTTCCAAGGCCATAAATAACAGAACACATTTGCAGTCTGCTGGTGAGTGCGCACATTAAAGACATACAGTAGGAAAGTTTGCATCAGACAACAGCACAGCTGTTTGTGTAGACTAATGACCTATGAGACATTTTGACAGGACGGTAAATTTGCGATTTCTTTTTCTTCCATTCTGCCTAACACAGCATATTGCCCAGTGATTTCCCAGCGTCTGATTAAGCTGACGTGAAATACAGAATTATTTCCAAAGTAACCAGCAAAAAGAAAGTCCCTCAGGGTTCCTTGAGGTCAAATTTGAGCATCAGCTTGGGACACACACAATAACGAGTGTGAAATTGTAAAGGATACAAAGTTTAACACTTGCCCTGTAATATACTGTATGCAGAAATAAAACACATCTCAAATTCCATGCATCTCATGAGACGTAACTGCAGTGTAAATGTAAGCTTACTGTTCTGGGCATTTAAGGGACTGCTGCTTCTTAACTCTCAACTCATTTAAACCGGCAGATAACGCTTAGTGAAACTGGATGATAACTTTCCAAATGCTAAATGGGGCTGTTTTGCTTTTGCATCAGTGCAGTGTTCTCAGGGCTTCTCCGGTGCTGGGTGAACTGTCACAAGTTTAATAATTTACATGCTGAGTGTCAGTTTGTGTTTATTGGATTGCATGTGTTAACTTTCGTAAACTATAGCTTTATATTATTACTATAAGATTGCTTTAATACAATAATACCGTAATGTGATGAATCAAGTTTTGCAGTTAAAGTGTTATTGACAGTTTTTACTGCTTTTTAACTATACTGCTGTCTCACACTGATGTTTTTTGCGCACTGCTTGTGCTGAGTTTTATTTAAGCTGCTGCGTGTTCTTTAATTTTTTTGGCTGCTGTTGTTCTGTGTTTACTTTGGTGTTTCCTCAATGTCATTGTATCGGGGTATACACACAAATAAGCATTTCATTTTACCTGTGCATAAGACAAATAATCTGAAGTCTGAACTCCCTTAACAGCATGCCTCATCACTGATCACCACTGGTGAGAAACCAGACTTTGGAGACATTATCATCTTTAGCCTTTTTGTTTAAAATGCTTTTGATTAATCTTGTGCAGCCTTATTCTTCCTAGACCTCCAAAGGCTGGGACATTTACTGTACCTGAGTGCCACATCCTGAACTGTACTTTTGACTATAGTGAGCAAACTCCTTAATCCATCTTTGCAGTGCATCGACAACATCCGCTGTAATGGCCTGATGACCAGCGTGTTTGAAGAAAACTCCAAAGTTACTGTGCCTCACATGATCAAGTAAGTCTCACACCTCACAGTCCTTGACACACACCTTGACGTAATGAGCAGTTAATATCAGAGAAATCTGAACTCCTTTGGACCCTACCAAAATACATAGATGGTTCTACCCTCTGTCCTGTTAGAAAGCAGGAGATTGTTTCTGCAGTATAATAAACCAAATACAGTTTATCATACATACTGTAGTCCCCTTATCTGGCTGCTGCTGAATCCAAATGGGAACTGTATTTGGTTTGGTGTTGACCTGGTGCTGTCATGGCTGCTGTATAGTTTTTCTAGTCTGCATTTTGGGAAGTTTCACTGTAAATGTGAAAAAGTTAAAAAACTTTGGTCTATCTTTGGTAGATCTTGGCCCTATTGAGAGTGTGCTCACGTGTGGTATTACAGAGTGGTTTGGCAGCAGCTCGCTGTCTGACCGAAGGCGTTACAGGGGGTGATCAGGTCAGCCCAGTCCATCACTGGAGTACAGCTCCCCTCTACTGCAGACATTTTTACAACTCTCTGTCTCAGGAAGGCTGGAAGTATCGCTATGGATACCAGTCATGTTACGAACAGTTCTTTCCGGGCCCTATGCGGACGACGCAATCCAGAAAAGTGAAGACACAAGGGGAAAAATATCATGCAGGAGTCGGTCAGGAGACAGGGGGGCGTGTCCATGCAGTGCTAGTGTCCGGGGGGAGTGAATCCAGGGCGAACAATCCAAGGGTAAATCCAGAGGAGGAATCCAAGACGAGAGGTTTAGTCCAAGACCAGGGGATCCATCCGTAGTTAAAACCAGAACCGGGTCGGGACCGGCGGGGCAGGGAATCAGGACCAGGAAACTAAAACCATAACGGAGCCAGACGCAGCAGGACCCCGGGCTCTCACGACACGGAAATCAATGAGAAGCCAGGAGTGAGGTCAGCGTCTGGCTTTTAAGGGGGAACGGGAATAGGGAACAGGTGCAGACAATGGGAAGGAACGAGGAAGGGCTGGAGCTCCCTTAAGAGGAGGGGTTAGCGATTGTGACAGTCATCCTTGTTTCTCACTTTAACCCCCCCCTCTGTCAAGCATTATAGGAGCATAAAGGCAGGAACTTCCAGGTTCAGAGACAGTTTCTTCAGAGACAGATGTTTTTTTTTTCCTCTGTTGTCCAGTATGTTATTTGACTTGTTGTTATTGCTGCTGCTGTTCTGTGTTTATGTCTGCGGTGATTCCTTTATTGTCTTTGTATAGGAACATACTGTACATGCAAATAAGCACCTCAGTGCACCTGTGCATATGCCAATGAACTGAACCATGGAACATCTCCTGGTGGTCTCCCCTCCCTTCACAAACTAATGCAGCAGATCCCCAGACCCCCTTCCGCTCCCCCTCTCCCTCCGCCCGAGACGCGCCTCTTGACAGTAGACTTGTGCTTGTCTGGTGACCAGGCCTCTGTTTCTGGTTAAGCCGCTGGTTGTGCTCTCCATTAGATCCGATGCTCGTCTCCATAAAGATGATGTTGACATTTGCTTCAGCAAGACGCTCAACTCCTGCAAGGTTCCCCAGATCCGCTATGCCAGCGTGGAGCGGCTGCTGGAGAGGCTGACCGACCTGCGCTTCCTCTCCATCGACTTCCTCAACACCTTCCTGCACACTTACCGCATCTTCACCACCGCCGCCGTGGTCATGGACAAGCTGGCCGACATCTACAAGAAGCCCTTCACCTCCATCCCCGTCAGGTACCTCCCGAGAGCTCTGCTGCCCGTGTCCCCGGCTCTAATTTCAAACCACGAGGCTCTTCGCCCCCCACAACTGGCCAGAAAAGCTGGGGTTTCACTTTCCGTTTCTTTTTCCGGAGGGTTTTTTAAAGCACTTCCACTGCACTTGCAGGTGCCGATCGTGATACTCCTGGGCTGCGTGTTTCTGTTCCTGAAAGGTCAGAGCTGTCAGATAATTTGCAGTTATATGTTGATACAGTGTAATTTCTCAATAACCCAGGTATCCTGACACAGACCCCCCCCCCGGGAAATCCCTCTCCCGCAGGGCAGATGTGTCTGTGGGTTTTTAGTACATCTCCGCCCTGAACTGCCTTAACCAGCTCATTGTTGGGCTTAAATGCAACAATTTAACAACTGCTAACCGGACCTTTGGGTGGCTCCTATGTCCTGTTTGTAGTGTTGGAGATGAGAAACTACATGCACTTTCCTAGATGTAAACGACTGTCCTGTACATTTTCAGTGCAGCCTCTCTTGACTTGCATTGGACTCCCAGTCTTTGCTGTGTGTCCAGAGCATCCTGTTTGCCTCATTGTTGATTCTGTATTCTTGCCTAGAAGCCAACAGGTATGAATCCTGTGTAATTTCCCATGATGCCTTTTCTAATCGTAAGCCACCTTTAATGATATGTGTACAGTACTGTATATAGTCCTGACACTTTTTTCATGTATCCAGAGCTTTATATTTCTTTACATTTACGAATTCCATTTGTCTTGCGTCTGTCTTGTTTTGAATCCTCTATTGTCCTTATTGCAATCCCTAGTTTTTATATAATCCAAAAATTTGACTTATGTGCTGGGAGGTACCCTAATACAGTAGGTGGGTACCCTGACAGGGGTTGTCTGTAGTTATATTGCTGGGATAGTTAGGTGACATTATGCAGCAGGTCATCCCCATAGACTAGTACAGTGTTATCTGTTTACTCCATGACTTCTGTACTTGTATATACAATATCATAGCACTGAGTCTTTACTGATTTTACCTCTTTCATCCACTAATCTATACAACTGCTATTTTTACTTTTTACTCTACAGAAAAGCTGGTTTTGAATCCATGTGTAAGAGGGGCTATTAAGTATTACAGTATTACCTTTCTGAATTATTCTATCGTGAGGTATCTTGACAAAATCTTTTTGTAAATCCAAATGCACAATATCACAAGCAAGATCAGGTATGTAAAGGTCAGAATCTTTGAGTTTTTACTATCTTAAAATTTATTGCGTTAGCCACTTGCCTTTCTTGTATTCTAATACTATGTTACCAGGATTACCAATCTGAGAAGGTATCCCATTTGTCTGAAATTTCTTCAATTTTTAGAGATGAAAAATGACTTTTACTGGCTTTTAAATGACTTCAGAAATCTCTTCGATAGCTTCAGAGTTTTTCCAAACAAGATCTGCTTCTTTTTTCTCAAGAACTCAAGTTTATTTGTTTTTTTCTGTTTCGAAGTACATACTGTATTCTTCATATGATCTATTGTAGTAGGCATAGATGTGCATGACATCTGTTGCGCTAATAGCAGGGCTACTGCCTTGTAGCTTGATCTCAGAAGCTAGGTGAGGCTGAGCCTGGTCAGTACAGACCTTTAAGGAATACCCAGGCTGCTGCTTGGGTTGGTTTTAATGGAACAGTAGGTGTTTTACCTCCTGGAGCAGAATTTCCAACCCAATCTCCCGGTAAGATGACTCGGGACTCTGTACTGTATCAGATACTGCCCTTCTGAAGTGAATACTGAGGTCAAAGCACTTGGTCAGTTAAGATCCCATGACATTCATTTGATGTGTTTTGTTTCTAGTCATGGTAGACTGTTACACAAACCACATTTCCAGTGCCTTTATTCCCTCAGCTACAGTGCTGGATGGTATTCCAAGGGTTTTGTTTCATTATGCACTGAGTGTGAGGATGTGTGCTGTTTGTATAGCACACAAGGAGGTAAGCCCACTCTGAAACCCATCATAAACTAAGACTCGTTCTCTTCTTGTGCTTTGTCTGTGTTGTACAATAAACAATGTCAACCCTCGCCTGCTGTGTGGGAGCAGTACCATTCCATCTTCATCACCAGTTCTGTTGTCTCCCTCTCCCTCATCTCACACAGGGTCCAGTACCACTCGTCTGACCGTTTGTCCATTACCTCCATCTGTCCCGACTACAGCTTGAAGATCACAAGACTAGCTCTGGACCAATCAAAGTAACTCTCCGAGCCCGATTTCTCCTGAACTCTTTCCCTTCACCAGTGTACAGCAGGCTCTGTCTGCAAGCCTGGTCTCTGCAGCAGTCTGACACATTCTCTGAATTTATGTTCCTCTGCCGTATGCTTCCAAAACTGCCTTCTCAAGTTCAGCCTTTCTTTTTTTTTTTTTTTTTTACCGACTTGGCCAAATTTCTGGATTGGTTTGCAAAGCACAGATCTGGGTTGTTTGAAAGGATTTTATTTGATTTGATTTTTTAAAAAAGTTTGAAAATACACTGTGTCCTGAGATGACACATCTAGATTGCTTTTAAAAAACATGATTTACTCTCTTGCCTGAGTTCAGGGTGCCAGGTTTGCATTGGCTCCCATGCAGTGAATAATAGGTTTCCCAACATTTGCTCAGTGTGATTCTTCTTTCATCCAGCACTACCTAACATACTAGTTTATTTAGGCTACATAACACCCACACCTCAGTCAGCCTTTATGCAGCAGTTTATTCTGTATAAAATATCCTAATTCTATACCATATGGCTTGATGTACAGTAGTGTTTATTTTCCTCCTACACTTTTAAGCTTTGCCAAATGAATATGCGCATACATTGTTAGAGCAGGTGTCTCCAGTCCTGTCCCTGGAGAGCCCCCATCCAGATAGTCTTATACAGTATGTCACTTCTTTTTAAAATATTAGCAACACCTGTCACCTCTTGATGAATCCAGCAAGTAATCTGTTTGGCTAAGAGAACTCTGGTTGTTAAGAGCTGGAGAGCGCTGAGATTTCAGTTTTCAAAGTGCTGTAGATGACTTAATTCTGAACAAAAAAAGTCACCTCTTTCCCTCATCAAAATGGAATTGTTCCGTATCTTTAGAAATACAGTAGGTGATTTACTGGTGACATGCAAAACCAATCCTGAGACCTGCTCATACATTCCTGCTTTTACATAACATTGTGTTTTCTAAGAAATGTATTTATAACGGCTTTATACCTTGACTTTAATATCACTGTCTTTATTATTCTCCATTCGGGTGTAGACTTACAGTACACAGGGTTTTATTTCTGTGGCAAACTGGGATGGTGTAATTTCAGACAGTACTTCCCAGTAATTTTGCATTTGCACTGGAAACCTGCTTCGTGTTCCTGTATCTGCGCAACAAGCTCTGCAGTGGAGGGCCTTGGGTTCGACTCTTAGGAGGGCCACCGCTGTCGTACTCTTAAGTAAGGTCATCCACGCAAATTGCTCCACTAAACATGCTGCTGCAACTGAGATTTTGCTCTCAGTTGACCTGTCTTAAGGAGTGATTATAGTATAGTATGACTCCTTCAACCATCACAGGAGTGAAAAAAGGGAGCAGCACCTCTAAGTGTTGATTTGCCATGTCCCGAAGAGAATCAATCAGAATAGCCGTGTGAAGAAGAACCGGTGTTTTTAAATTGGAGATGACATCTGATAAAGCAGTTTAGAGTGCCTAAGGGAAGAGTCGGGGATTTTGCATAGCTGTCACTCAAGAACAATGGGAGAAGTGTACAATTCGTACAACGTCGTCTCGTTCTCGGCCTCATCTGATAGAACAGCAATAAAACGAGATTATCCTTGCCAGGTTCTAAGCAGGTTCTAAATGAATATTGAAAAAACACAAAAGCAGAGCTCGGGCAGCCTCAGCAGGCTCTCATACTGTATGTGCGCAGGGTGTGTTCATCTCCGAAACGTCAGGAACTGCCCCTAATTCCCCCGGAGGTTTAATTCCCCTCCCTTTTTCGAACGTCAGGTCCCTGGAATTGTTCTTCGCCACCAACCAGAACAGCCGGGGCGGCGAGCACGCGGCCGACGGCAAGTCCCCGCGGCTCTGCCGCAAGTTCTCCTCGCCCCCGCCCCTGTCGGCGTCCCGCACCTCCTCCCCGGTGCGCGCGCGGAAGCTGTCCCTCAACTCGCCTGTCGGCTGCAAGGCGGGCGCCCTGGACCTCTCCACGTCCTCCGCCGCCAGCAGCCCCACCTCCACCCACACGCCCAGCGTGTCCCCGCCGCCCGCCGCCTCCAAGGCCCCCCTGGACCTGAGCCGCGGGCCCTCCTCGCCCGAGCAGAGCCCCGGCGCCGGCGAGGACGGCGGCTCCGAGCCGGCCCGGATGGATGTCTGTGGGAAACTGCGCCGGAGCATCCGCCGAGGTAGGCAAGGTAACGCTCTCTCAGACAAGTTTCCCCCCTCTATGCCTGTGACTCTGGGATAGAGTGCTGAACCCTGACTACACCCGGGACTCTGGGATAGAGTGCTGTACCCCCTCAACCCTTGGGACTCTGGGATAGAGTGCTGTACCCCCTGAAGCTCAGCAGGTGTGAGGCTGGTCAGTACCTGGATGGGAGACCTCCTGGGAAAAACTAAGGTTGCTGCTGGAAGAGGTGTTAGTGGGGCCAGCAGGGGGTGCTAATGCCCCAGTATGGTGATGCCCCAGTATAGCGATGGGGACACTATACTGTAAAAAGACGCCATCCTTCGGACGAGACATAAAACCGAGGTCCTGACTCTCTGTGGTGATTCAAAATCCCAGGGCCTTTCTAGAAAAGAGTAGGGGTGTAACCCTGGCGTGCCAAATTTCCCATTGGCCCTTTCCAATCATGGCCTCCTAATAATCCCCATCTATTAACTGGCTTCATCCCTCTGCTCTCCTCCCCACTGAGAGCTGGTGTGTGGGGAGCGTTCTGGCGCACTATGGCTGCCGTCGCATCATCCCGGTGGGGGCTGCACACTGGTGGTGGTGGAGGGGAGACCCCATTACCTGTAAAGTGCTTTGAGTGAAGCGTCCAGAAAAGAGCTATATGAGTGTAAGGAGTTATTATTATTGCCCATTTCTCTCAGTAGAACAATGTCACAATAGCAGGGTTCTAAGTTTTGTAGAATTCAGATCAAAGAAAGGAAGTAGCCAGAGCTGACTTTAATCATTGTGTATAGTTCTGGTTAACACACTCTAAAAAGGCTTCAGAAATACTGATATTCAAAAATCCCGGTCAGTTTGGACCTCAGCCATGATGTCTGCTGGCTTCTCAGTTGTGGTGACTCCAGACCCTCAGGGGGAGAATGAGGAACTACTGACGGGCTCCTCTGACCTACCTGCTAATTGCGCCACTCAACATTGCTACACAGTCCCTCACAAAGGGCTCAGGCTCCTAACTGAAATTTCCCGGTCACCTGACCGAACCTGCCTCAGGACGTGCATGTACAGATACAGTGTTTCAGCCTTTACGGCAGGCGTCTGGAACAAAGTGCACAGTCCTGTTGTTGACGGTGATGCCCTTGAATCCTTTAGAAAAGGCCTGGATGGTGCTTTCACACAAGCTACTGTAGATGGTCTCCTGTTGTTTGTGGGCTTTCTTTTAAGATTTCTTGGTTTCCGATGTGTTTAATACATTTATGTTGACGATGACCCCTTCAAAAAGCTTGTGCATGTATGCATCAAGCACAGATTACTCTTTGTTTATAACTGTATCCACTTTATAACTGTTTCCACCAAGTTAGTTGTGTACAAAGGAGCGACAATGATCCACTCGTATTACAGAGGATCACACAGAGAGAGCATCCATTAAAGTTGGAGGCAACGCAAACCAAAAAGCAGGAAGCTTACCAGGAAAATAATCCTAGTGTTTTTAGAGCAAGACTTAATGCTGACATACAGTTAGGGTTAAAGGCTTTTATATGCTTGTCTTATTACAAGTCTTCTCCAGAGCTTACTGAGTAAAATGAGGGTTGATTAAATGTGGAAAGCTCTCACTGGGCTGTCACTCAGTTTAGTTCCCAGGAAACACCCTTTCCCTATTACTGCCAGCTATGCCACAGTCCACATGTGATAGTGGAAAGGGAGATCAGCCACACAACATTATTGGAGCAGTTACAGATGGCATTGACCAGTGTGAACTTAATGGTTTAATCCAAGAACACTCAGTAATAATTAACCTGTAATGTTTTGCTGTTTGTAGACAAGAATTAAATTCACCTCTGTTGTTTCCAATATTTTACACCAGTGGGCATAAAATTCTGAGCAGAGTCCAACAGAAAGATGCTGAATTGGATAGACATGAGAAAAATCGAGGCAAGCACAGGTTCAAAGTGCACTTTCAGAGCTGTTCTTGCAGAAGAAGGAACAAAGTTATGCTTCAGTCTATCTGATGGCCCAAAAAAATGGTACTGATAAATGATGGCTCCTGAGAAAAGTACAAACTGTTTCCTATCCACCCCCTAGTGGGCCTTGTAATTTAATCTTCAGCAGACATCATTAAACATGGAAATGAGAAAACAAGTTTGCCTTGTAATGAAATATGTTGCAATGTTGTGTCACTTGGAGCTGTGCTCTGTTTGAGTTGTAATCAGACTCTCATTAAATGAAACAATGAAGTCTTCTGTGAATTCGTAGCTGTGTGGCAGAGAACGGGCCTGAAATGGATTGTTATTCTCTACTTGTCCACTAATTATCCCTGTGCTCTGGTGTGGCTGGACTGAAACAGCACTAATTTGTCACGATGAGCTTCATTGCTGAGCATTCACAAAAGCACAGATACCATATAATCAAGATCCGCAGAGACCAGCACTAATAGTTGCTGAAACCAGATACTGTACATCCATCCATTCATTTTCCAACAGCTTAGCTTCTCCCAATTCAGGGTCGCAGGGGAGCCGGATCCTGTCACAGCAAGCAACAGACGCAAGGCAGGGTACACCCTGGACAGGACGCCAGTACGTAGTGATAGGAGTCGTATCATTGTGCACGCACAAACACATGCTCAAACACAGGGCCAGTTTTCCCCGGAGCCAGTTAACCTACCCGTATTTGTTTGGACCCTGGGAGGAAACCGGAGCACTCGGAGGAATCCCACATGAACATAGGGAAAACATACAAACTCCACACAGACTGCACCTCAGGTCTGAACCTAGAGCCCTAGTGCTGCAAAGCGCCACAGTGCCACCCATTCTGCATTATGTGCCATTTATATCTGCATATATTGCCTGTAAAGGAGTGGCCCAAACATTTTTAAAAAATAATTCATACAGGAAAAAAATAAACAGCTAACCACTGCGTCACCGTGCCGCCCACAAATAAATAAAGCATAAGTAAAGGCTTCTCATTTCAGACTTCTAAAAGAAAGAGTTCCAGTTTTATCAACACATTTCCAGTAGGATCACATGTCTCCCAGTGAAACTACCTTGTTAACATCTGTGGCCCGATCTCACTGGGTCTCAGAAGCTGAGCCAAGCTTCATCTGGCCAGTCCTGGGAGAGGAGCACTCCAAGGAAAACCTGGTTTCTGCTGTGAAATGGAGCATGATTTCCTAAACCAACGTTCCAGAGTAGGGATGTTAACTGTGGTGTCCTGGCTAATTAAAGTCTATGCTTGTACAGTCTGACGTCCCTAAATTAATTCAATGCATTCATTAGTTTCTCTCTCCTCTGCTGTGTGGTGGAGCTGCTGCTGCAGAATGGGACCCATAGTGCGTGAAGTGGGTCCCCTCCTATTTCCAAAGCACCTTGGAATTCACTGGGCTCTTGGTTCTTATTCTCCTCGTGTCTTTGACAGCCGTGCTGGAATCGGCGTCGCTGGACAAGTTCATCCCCGAGAGCCCCCCGGCGGCAGAGCCCGGAGAGATCTCCCCCTGCCGCTCCCCCTCCACCCCCAGACACATGCGATACCGCCAATCCGGAGGTAAGAGACACGCCCACATCAAGACACGGAATCGCCTGCGTTCTCGGGGCCCTGCGGGGCTTGTTTGATTTGGACCGGCAGGAGCACATTAATAGCGCCGGAACAGAACATGGGAGGTGTGGTGCAGCCAGTATGGGATCACTCTCCGATATTTGCACTAGAGAGGCAGGGATTAGTTGTGCTCACTGAGAGCTCTGTGCTGTGCAACAGCAGCAGCGTGTTCCGCTGTGTGTGTTTGGCTGTACTCCTGTTTGGCTTCGCTGTTAGTTCATACAGTATAGAACAGATGGTTGTTAAGTACATGTGGCCATAACCTGTGTAAGGAAAAGAGGTTTCGGCCTTTCAACACTTATTTCTGTCCTGATCTACCTGCTTTTAATTAGCATCGTTAATCTGGGTTTGTTTTTAATTAAACCATGGTTATCTGATGATAATAAAACAGCCTCGTCACTTTTCCTTGTTCACATGCATTATTAAAACCTCTCTTCTCTTGCACTGTGAAGTAGGTATAATTACTACTGTACACCCAGTTTGTCTGGTAAAATAAAGGTTCTGTCTCATGGCGCACCTTGTTAAATTTAGCAATTATCACAGAGGAAGATACTGGAGATTAATAGGTGGAAAGATTAATTATATACTTTAATTAAACAAGTATCCTTTTAAATTTCTCTTGGCTGATACACGATAATGAATCTGTGGAAGAATAAAATAGGGAGCAAGATCTGTTTTTCTGTAGGGACCGAAAAGAGGTTCATTTATTTAGCAGTTAATCAGTTTGTTGACACAGGGACTTTTAAAGGTACTGTAAGTATTTTAAGTAGGAATAAACATAAAAAGCCTAAGGCACAGAAAGTAATTTCAGTTAATGTTCCAGAACACGTTCACTTTTCATAATGCTCTGAATCTAACGGTATTGGGGTCACAGCTAGCAAGTTTAGCAAATTGAAGAAAAACCTAAACTATATTTAAATATGATGAAATTGGTTTTACTGCACACTATTGCGCCTTTTTCACTGTGCCCAAGTCAGCTACATAAAATGCTTGGATGACATTAAAAAAAACTGTAAAATCTTGGAATGAAAGTGAAACAATATTTTTTTTTATTTTCATCAAAACATGGTGGATGAATTCACTTTTTATCCCAATCAATTTCTGGTCCAAACTCCTGAGCCAGCTGTGTTCCCTTTCCCTTTAGGAAGGAGAGATTTCAGCCTCCAAAAAATGTAACTGCAAATAAAAAAATAAAACACGAGCCTTAGCAAACTCAGAAAATTGACTGAAAAATCGTGCCGTATGTTATTTTTCGAATCTTTTAAACTTTTTTTTTACTCTTCGATAATACGTGAAGCAGGATACTGAATCTGGCCATGGAAGTTGTTTGGGAGTCTTTTAAGTGAAGTTTGAGAATTAAATATAATGTAATTATGATACAGTAATAATCCAGCGCAACTTTACTGAACCTTTAGTAACCTTGGCTTTGAGTTGGCTGGAGGAGATCTTAGAATCAGCAAGCTACTAGCAACTAAACAAGCTAGACGGTTCACACGGCTCACTCCCGTTTGCAACCTTTCTTATGTTCTACTGTGTGTACTGTATGTTTAATTAGTAACCGTGTCATTGCGCTTTTCCTCTCCAGTCCAGTCGGCGGAGAACACACGGTGTTCGGTGTCTCCTGCGTCTGCTTTCGCCATTGCCACAGCTGCAGCTGGACACAGCAGCCCTCCAGGTGAGCTTCAGCAGACAACACAGCTGTCCAGGTGAGGCCCTCTGTACATGGTCCTCACTGTCCAGGTGAGGCTCTCTGTACACGGTCAGCACTGTCCAGGTGAGGGTCTCTGTACATGGTCAGCACTGTCCAGGTGAGGCCCACTGTACA